ATGATCGTCCGGGTGACGTAGTACTGTTTTTGACAATGACTGATGTTTCGACAACCTGTGCCGTGGTAGACATCGTCAGATTCATTTTCAGAATTTACCCGAAATAGCACTGTCCATGTTATTTTTTAACATCCCAGCACGCATATCTGTGTCCTTACCGTTTGTTTTGAACCAAAAAAGTCATCTCATTGATATGCATGCCTGCAACCACTGCTCGGCTGGTTCACGGGCTCAGACTTGCTGAGCGGGAGGCCCAGTACAAATCCAGGACAAAACACTAACCCAGCCTAGTCCCCAGGCGTTTTCGGCTCGGTCATTCCTGGACTCTACCATAAGCTGTGATGTCACCGAGACTTCGCGCGGACAACGGATCAATAGAGAACGCCTAGGGACTAGGCTGACAATAACCCAGGCTCTTGCAAAAACTGGTAAGATAATGTTGGCTGTGTGATGATCTTGTCTCAGTTCAATTAATCGCCCTTTTCTCGGCGGTGTCCATGAGCTGGCGTCATTCATCCTTCTCTCTCCAAAAAAAAAAACAACAACAACAATAACAACCCATATTCCTGTTCAAAAAAAATGTCGGAAATCTTTCACTGATGTGAAGTCTGCCTTTTCACAGCTTATCACCTCACACATCCAACGTGTTCTTCACAGATTGTCTACGCATCCGTGCTGCAGCCGCATCAGCGTTAAAGTTCCCTGGCCAATTTTTACCTCAGTACGTGGTGCAAGCCCGATTCAGCCTCCTCTGGAACCAGACTATCCCTGTTTAAAAACGTTTCCAGCCGACTTAGTGACATACAATCTCAACATGAAATGTTGTGCGCATAAACTATGAGGAGCAATGGACAAAATTAGTGAAAGATTTTTACCTTGGTGTTCCAGTGTACCTTTTACCTCTTATGCATAATTACTTTAATCCAATCTAGAAATAACCTATTGTTTATCTACAAAAAAAAATGAAAGGATCTCGGGTTTATTTAAGGGCTGGTCGTTTATTACCTGTGAGGTCGGGGAAGCGGCCATTTTGAGAAGTATGAGAAGGCTAAGAAGATTTCCAAACCGAACCCTTCCTGGATCTCAGCTTTTTAGAAATGACCCCTCATAAATTTTACATATCGTGAAAGTGACTCCCTCTCTTAACCCGATGAACCCGATTGCTGTGGAAATTACGAATCACTGATTTTGGCTGCAAATCGTGTTGACGTTCCGGCCTGCACATAATTTATCTACAGTCGTGTTTATATGATCGGCGCAGGGGCACCCAACGACAATTTTCGGAAAAATATCTGTTCGGAAGACGATTTGAGATCTAGAATTTTCGGAACATTTGTTGTACAATTTTTTGCTTGCCTGCCTCTCCTAGGATTTTCGAACATCTAAAAACTACTATAGTTGCCCATTTTTAACGGATTTTTACCCTTAAAAGGTCACCTAGAATTTTCGGGAGCCTTTTTTCTGGGTGAAATTTTCGAAAAGGTAAGTTTTAATCCCTATAATTTTCGGATCACTAGACTTTCAGCTAGGAAATCCGAACAGATGAAAAAATGTTAGGGGATCAAAATATGCCTATATCTACCGTTTAACTACTAAAATACGTTTAACAATGATATGTTTAAGTGGTCTTGAACTATATTCTCATTGGGTGCCCCTGTCGGCGTTCCTATACTATTCACGGCTTGTACATTCAATTTTCATTCACGCTCCTTAATGCCTTTTTACTACTGTCATGACTTTTATTTAAATGACCCCCAGGTATTAAAAGCTTTCTCATCTGAAAATGAACCCCTAAAAATCAATATGTTTGAAACATCAAGTAATTATCTGGAGAATTATAAGCTTCGTTTCCACATGAGCTGGTTTTATTCGGATTTCCTCCAGTACCAAACCCAATTCTAGAGTTACAGGAACTGCAAGTGTTTTCGTTGTTACTGCTGATACCGATCTTGGCTTTGGAAAATTTACAACATTTACTACTAACGGCATTGAATCTTTCCTTGTTACAGTTGTGCTGCAAGGAGGCATCACAACCAATCAGCGATTTCCACGTGTCATCAACATGCAAGCGAACTCCTTGTACTTTCTGATCGCTGCAGGGAAATACCTTTAATTACTACAATGAGGGACAAAAGTGTTGACACACTTCCGTAAAATGGCCCCTTTTTGCATAGTGGATATACTTATCCTCTTTCCCTATCTACCCCAACCCCTTCTCCCCCAAAATCAATGTTGAATTTTGGACCCTCAAGTCTTTTTTTCACGTCAGACAACATTGATTCGGGGGGTGAGGGGATTTACGGCGTTTAAAAAGAATGAAATAATAGATGAATTAAATGTTTGTTAAAAGCACCCTTTTTAAACAAGTGTGTCAACTACTTTTGTCCCTGATTGTAGAAATAGTCTATAGTTTATCCACAAAAAACGAACATGATTTAGAGTTTAGATTAGCTAGCTTTCGTTTGGCGCCAAAAGCAAATTAGCCCAGATCAGTTTCTTTTTACTGCACCAAAATATATCCCATTGTCTTAATATGCTTTTCGCCATTATCTGGGACAGATGTACTAGCCTCGTTTCCACATGAGCTGCTCTTATCAGGATATCCTCCAGTACCAAATCCAATTCTAGAGCCACAAGAGGTGCATGCGTCTTCGTCGTTACTAATAATACCTATTCTTGCTTTGGAATAACCAAGATTACTACAAACAGCATTGAACCCTTCCTTGTTACAGTTTTTCTGCAAGGAGGCATTAGAATCAATCAGTGACTTCCACTTGTCACGACCCAGTGAGGTGCTGCGGTATTTCCCATCAGCGATCAGAGAGTGCAAGGAATTCGCCTGCTTGTTGATGACAATAAACTTGATCTGCTGGCCGATCTTCATATCGAGGCAGATCTTGGAGAAGGATGTGTTCCAGTAGGAGGGAAGTTTGGTCTCCTGTGAGTCAAACCCAGTCTTCCCTCCTTCAAGGTTATAGGTTTCTTTGTTGCTCCAGAGAGTGGAACCGTAGTTAAAAGTTTGCTGTGAGAGAAACAAGTACTTGACCGTCAAATTAATTGAACGATAAATTACTTATTTACATACATACACTTTATTGATGCTCCCTAAGTGGGACAAAATTTGCTTTTGTGCATCATTACCAATCCAGAGTTAGGAACGTTGTTCTATATCTTGTTACTGAATTCATAACTTAACTCAGTCTCTGTCTAGTTCCTATTTTTAACCTATCACTCAGCGAACTTCATTTTACTTATTTCTTTGTGACTGGGGAGCCCAGGCTTCATAAGCCTTCTAGTTTCTTTTGGGCTCCCTTGACAACTTACAACTTCTACCGCGGCAGGATTAGCTCAGTCGGTAGAGTGCTTGACTGCAGAGCGGGAAGTCGCGGGTTCGATTCCCGGAGTCGGACCAATACTCAGGGTCTTAAAATAACTGAGAAAGGAAGGTACTACCTTTGTCCTGCAAATGGCTAGACCTTCTCGTAGCTCGGATGACCACCTACAATGGCGGTTCCGTCTCCAGTAGGAGACGTTTGTAGAAGGCCTAAATGTAATAAACGGCCCTAAATGTAATAACATTTTGTCCTAAATGTAATAACAATTTGCCCTAAATGTAATAAACTCTCAAGTTGACAATTACAGTAATAACTCGAATAAGCACCGCCTTCAAATAAGCGCCGCATTGGAGGGGGGGAGTTAATTAGTGCCGCGGCGCTTATTCGAGTAAATACCTTACTAAGCGGTACTACTATGGTATTAAGCTCCGCTCTCAAATAAGCGCCGCATTTTGGAAGAAAAAGTTAATAAGCGCCGCGGTGCTAATTTGCGTAAATTCGGTACATTTCCTTATGCACTGTGAAACTTAACGTTTACAAATAAATTGCTTGTAAACGGAAAAGTAACAATATTTTTCTAAAAAAGCAATATTTAAGCAACAGAAAGCTTTTTTCCTGTGTGTGGAGAATTCGAGACAGTTATGCAAACCCTCGAAGTCGTCTCGGGTTTGCATAACTGTCAAGAATTCTCCCAACCCCTCGAGTGTTTATATTAGACTATGCAAATAACTTTCCCTAGAAAAAAGAAAAACTCTTTGTTTAGATTACTGATTAAGGTGGCTGAACACAGTTTTGGCAGTTTGTGAGTGTATGTCATTTGCCAAATCATGGCAAGAGAAAGGTTTGAGCTCACAAGCTGAAACTTGGCAGGTGGAAAATATACTAATGAAAGATTTTGATTGACAGGTAAAATTTGACGTTTTCGTAGTTTCCATGGCAACATGAACGATTGAATACAACCTTAAAATTTCACTTTTGTTCAGTTTACATAAAATTCGCTCATTAGATTTTCCTATAATCTTGCACACAGCTTACTGTAACTAATCATTACCATTTGAAACTTATTTGATCAAATTTTAACAGACGAACTTTTAGATAATCAATAATATAATTGTATCGTAATTATTAAATGTGTCACGAAATTCGTCTGTTCAACCTCCATTTTAAAGTTTTCATTATCTAAAATACGATAAAAGTAAAAATTCTGCCAAATATCACAAAATTTTAATGAGTAGATTTTGAGAAATCGTCTTCCGTGTACCATTGCTTTTTCGCCGCTATGTTTGTTTGTCTAATTAAAAACACGCGCGGTCACGCGAGTTACCGCTGACCGCCCGCAAAACTGTGTTCAGCCACCTTAAAAGCGAAATTCTTACCAGTCGCGAAGTCTTGTACACGAGGCTTAATGTACATGTAATCAGTTCTTGTTTTGCAGTAAAGATGCTTTCCAAAAAGAGGTTTTTCTCGCTTAAAATGTCAGCTCAAGCGCAAAAAAAATTGACAGCATATTTGTAAAGATTTTCCAAGTCTCATCCGACGAGGGAATGGATAAATAAAGTAACTTTGTCGAGTTTTCAACTCAAAAACTTTTTGAAATTCGTGCTTGTGTGGTCAGCGCGCGTCAGCATACTCTCATGCAAACACATCTCTCGGCCAATCAGAGTGCGCGCGTACTACCTTAGTTATTTATAAACGTTGTTATCAGCTGTGTAGTAGTCTTTAGGGCCTGTTTACATGGAGGTGGGGGACCCCAGATAGGTATGCGGCGGATCACCCCACCTATCATGTAAACGGGATTAAATTAAAATGAGAGATTGTGTGGACAGGCGGGTTACCTCACCTGCTTGGGGTCCCCCACCTCCATGTAAACAGGCCCTTAGACTTTCTTAATCTATTAGCTGATTAAATCTCTAGAGATCCAACGTTGACAAGCAACAAGATCTTCGTCCACGGTTTTTGCAGCAAATTTCTTTAACAAAAATGAAGTATGAAAAACTTTTTAAGGCTTACAAGTTTTCTTTTTAATTTTGTCTCTTTACAAGCAATTTCTTTGTAAACGTCAAGTTACACAGTGCAGAAGGAAATGTACCGAAGCTTGCTAATTTTTTTCCTCCAAAATGCGGCGCTTAAAACCATAGCAATACCTCTTAGTACCGTATTTGCGCGAATAAGCGACGCAGCGCTTATTAAATCCCCAAATGCGACGCTTATTTGAGTAATTACCGTAATTTGCAACTTAAGAGTTTATTACATTTAGGACAAAATGTTATTACATTTAGGACAAAATGTTATTACATTTAGGACTTTATTACATTTAGGGTCATTTATTACATTTAGGCCTTCTACAGCGTTAATAAAGTGTCCCCAATTAGCACCTCCGTGCTAAATACATTGACACTCAAATAAAGTGCAATTTTTTTTTTCTTTATATATTCCTGTATTGTATTATATTTTGGCTAAATAAAAATGAACTGAACCGAACCGAACGCAGAATAAGAACGCTTCGCCTGTTTTATTTTGGTGGTGCGAGCCTGTGCAAGAGTACCTGCCGACGTCGATCCTGCGTTTTCTATCAAATGGTCGCTTTTTCAGGCGAGCACGAAATCGTCGCATATTGAGCATTTTTTTGCGTGGTAACGCTACTAGTACGCTCAGCCCAACCAATGGCGATGTTCGCGTTCGATTTCCTCGGAAACACCCGTACAGAGGCTCTGATATCCCTACCATCTAAGAGCCTGGCACAGGCTACTTCTTACCTTGTTGCCATCAATCTTCATGACCGGTGTCCATCCTCCAACCCCACATCCAAAATCTCCCATGTGACAGAGAACAGATGTTGGCTCTGAGTCAAAGATAATCGTAATCACCTGAGTATTGCTTGAGCTAAACAAAGAAGAAACGTTTTGGTTAACAACTGCAGTGAAACCTGTATTAAGCGGACACTAGAGCATTCCCTGAGGGTGTCAAAAACATGCTGGTTTTTCACTGTTTACATAAAAAAAAAAACAGTTTCACAACCTTGTTCAGTACTAAAGCGTTGGTGTCGTTTAAAACCAACTCGAAGAAAAAAAATCCTTAAGGAAAAAAAGAAGTTACCTACACGTCTGAGTTATAGTGATACCAATCTTGACATGACTTGATCGCTGAAAAAGATGATCAAATTCACTAGTAGTCCTGCTAGTGTTATTGTTCCATATTCAAGCTAAGACAACGGCACTTTTTCAGTTTCAGTCAACGCTTGTTTTGTTACCTGTTTGGGAAGATGCTCCAATAATTCCCTCATTACAAGGGCAGTTGAGATGTCTAGAATTTTGCGCACAAGTATGTTCTTTGCAACATGTCCAGTGAGTACCTGAGGTCTGAAAGTAGCAACATCACCATTAGTATTTTAAAATATATAGATTTAGCCAGGGCTAAATTAAAAGCGAAGCTGTCGTTGACATTTATAGGTTACTCAAACAAAACATAAAATCCAGTAATGCTAAGCGGCGACGGCAACGAAAACGTGATGTGCAGCACGCTTTTTTGGTACATTTCTTTGCCGTTGTTTTGCACGACTACAACTTGAAACTTCCAGACACTTCCTAGTTACATGTTTTATAGAGGACTGACGTTCTTATTTTCTCACCGCTCCTATGAAATTTTCGCGTTTTTCTTCCAATGAAATTGGTCTCTTTTGTTTTTTTATCTCTCGCTCTAGCTCTTTCTTTGTTATCCACTTTACGTCAATGTAGACCGTTAAAATTTAGTCGAAAGAAAGGATCGGCTTTGTTGTTGTTGTATTTTTTCTCTCTAAAAGTCCGGCGGGTGGCCATGCGATTTACCGCCGAAACGCGCGGGTGCTTGAAATGCAAAATTTCACCCCGGCTTTCATGAACGGGTGGACGTACGTACGCATCGTACGGACGATTTTGTCAGAACTTACATTTCTTGAATGCATAGCTAAGCAAATTTTCTTACTCATGGAGCTCCGCTTTGATTACTACTAAAACAACCAATTTTGAATATCTTTTAAATTCCACATACCAGTCAACAAAACCTGCAGACTTAAAGGGATATTTTTTGCCTTTTAATGACATTTAGTTTTACTTTTTGACATCTTATACTTCGACTGCGCTAATAGACATGCAGTGGAGATTCTATTTTCACGGGAAAAAGTGCCCTAAAATGTGTCTAAAAATAAACTGGTCCGTAAAACCGCCGTGACATAGGCCTACTATGGGAGTTGCTCACTCCGGGTTATGGTCTCCTGCGATAACGATAATGATGATGCTGATGACGATGACGATGATAATGATCATGACAATGACAATGAATAATAATAACATTCATTTGATAATGATAATGCTATACCTTTAGGATGGTACTTAAGTGATGCGAGGTTTGGTTTCTTTTATACTTCTCGGGGTTGCTGTGCTTTTCAGAGGACAGCAACTCGCACCATATCTTTCCATTGGCTCCTCTGTAGGCGGCCAGGTTAACAGAAAAGCAACAAGGATTTCTAAGACACTTTAACGTACAGTCAAAGGCGTTGTCCACTGTGAATGATCCAACCACAGGAACATTCAAATAATGATAATCGTCTTGTGTGAAAATATCTTGGCGAAATTCAGGGTCTAAATCTATGAAAAAGAAAAAAAACAACAAAGCATTAAATGATTAGCTAATGCCCGACTTGCAAACTGGTTACCATTACATTTAGCTCAAGAGACATTTGTATAATAAAAGCCACAAAACACAATCATGTCAAAAATGGGACCGCTTCATGCCAATCCATGTTTTTCTGTTGATCATTAAACTGCACCGCTGCAAAAATGACTGTGAAACACATATCAAATAAGTCATAAGCCTGCCTTTACTGGCGAGGAATTGTAGAACTTACCTCTGGTGAAAGTTGAGACATATAAAACTTCGGGCAAAGTTTGGAAGAAGACAAACCAATGGATTAATGTAGAAAACATGGTCGGCGTTTAAAGCTATAGCTATTATACTTCATTAGCGCACGTTCACGAGCAATGCGAGGGGGTATTCCCGGTTTGGTAACTTGAAGTAAAAGGTTTTAGGCATTAGTTTAGCCTTTAAACTGTTATTATTAACCATCTCCACGAATATGTTGAAAGCATCGTTTGCTTTTACCTAATAAAACTCTCATCGTATGTTTGAAATTTTAGAAGAAAAACAAACAAACGTAAGTTGTTATTTTGCTATTAAAGGCTAGTTTCCTTTTAAATACAACATAGGCACGGAAGGGAATAAACGGCATTGATGGGGCGAAGACAGCTGAGAAAGTTGGTGCCAATGTCTGTAAATAGTGCCAGATATGTATCGTATTTCTGAGGGCACTTGTGTCGTCTGAGGGTGCAGCTTACAATCTTTTAAAGTTTGCTCATGCTGCTAACAAAATCACCGCTAGGAGTGTAATTCGTGCCATAATTTTAAAGTCTTAATGTCCTATATCAATTGAAAGCGTGACTGCAACACCCGAGATGAAATTCATAGCAAGCTTTACAACACTCATAAGGAGATATGCCTGGAACATAAAACTAATTTCGTTACTGCTTAATTTCGTCCCAACGATCAGTTTAAATGACCACATATTTCTAACTTAAATCTGTAGAAAAATATTTATTTCTCTGGTAGTTCTCAGTTCAGTTTGTTTTAAAAAGGACCGGGGTTTTTTGAGAGACACTCAAAATATTGAACTGAAAGCTGAGTTCTGACGTTTTTTTTGTTGTTGTTGTTTTTACAGTGATTTGACAAGGGGTTCATAATCTTAAAGTGTTTATCAGTTTGATATTCACTGGACTTGGACGTTTCGCTTAAATTAAGAAGATCATTCGATATAAAACTAGCGGTTATGCCTCCGGTTGTTCAAACATTAGATAAAGATATCCACCGAATAAATCACTATTCACTCGGCAGCGGAGAAGTATTAAGGCGTGAAACTACGTGTGTTATCCACTGAAAAGAGTAACTTAAAACGTTATATCCACCTTTGGACAACTTAGGGCCAGGTTGTTTATCGACTGAAAGATCAAAAGAAGCCTTCATTAGTACACTTGGAATCGAAAACAATAAGAGCTATAACCAGAAAGAAAAATTTTCTTTTTTCCTTTTTTCTTTGATTTATTCACATCACGACGAATTGACTTTTCAATCAAGGGATTTTAAAACGTGTTTAGCAGAAAAGAATCCAGTGGTGGACCTGCTTTGCGCACGTACGCAAGTGCGTATCTGAAAAAAAACATGTCAGTATAGGAAAGGAAAAAGAAAACAAACAAGGAAACAAAACTTGGCGAAAAATCCTTCACCATTGGTAATGATGTCATGAAGTGATCGAAGCCAAGAGCAACGATATCCATATATAAATTTTTTTCAGCCAAACAATTTGAACTTTCCAAAGTAGCAAAAGGACAATCAGATTTTGAGAACGAGCAAGGTCAATAACTGTATGATTTTCACAAACTGTAGTCTACTAGTGCACAAAATAGATAAAACTACGCCCTACTTTATGAATTATAGACACATTCTTAGTCATTTCGGAAGACTTAAATTCCAAGTTTTTTCCGAGGGAAACTCAACCGTCAGCCTTTGATATGGAAATCATTTTTCATTCTCATTCAAATAATACTCATTTTCAAGAGAAAGGTTGTGCACCTAGCATCATTTTGAAAGTGAGGGTTTTTTCGGAAGTGGCCTATTACATTCAAACCAGTTTATTTTTCTACCCTTGACCGTTAAAGCGTTTCGTTCGTGAACCTGAGCAGGTGTCATCCCTTTAATAAACTAAAACGTAACATACTAATTGAAGCAAGTTCCGGCATTTAAGGTCATAAGTTGGAAACGCTCTTGCCACGCTAAATTGGTGTTGAGGTTTTATTAAAAGGGTAAAAATGGTCGAAATCGTTCACGATTTACGTTCAGCCTCCAATGATTACAACGATATGATGTTTACGGCGAAATCGGGTTCAAGTTTTTTCTTCCCGTTGAGAAATTTATCGCAGTGTGACCGCAAATAACCCAGAGCGAACCGAACCCATGAAGCTATATTCCCATGGGGAGCCTTGGGGAAGACATTTTTTATATGAAATCACGACAGCCAAATCCTGTTGTTTTATCCAAGACAAAAATATACACATAAATAACAAAACAGCAAAGAGAAAAGCGACTTGAGTTTTCCCAATATATCTTCAGGGCATTTAATGAAGAATCGAAAAGTTGTTACAAATAGTACATACAGACGAGTAGCAGATGGAAATTTGATACAAAGGTAATGTAAAAAACTAAATGGGCCAATAATGAGAAACAATTCGGACAAATGAGATAGTTTGGTAACTGGAAAAAAAATAATATAATAAAATAAAATAAAAATAAATAAAAATATAAATTTAATTTAATTTAATTTAAATTTAAAATAAATAATAAGAAAATAAAAATATTGGAAGTAAATAAAAAAGATATAAACAAACATCATAATAATAATCATAATCATAATACGAATAATACTGAAAATAAATTAAAATGAAATAAAGAATATTATGATGATGAAATCAATACGTACATAAATGGTTTAACGGTCGTCCTCTCTGTTTATTCCGGACGGTGGCTGCATAGTTTGTGCCTTTTTCAATGTAAAAACGTTCGCGGGCTCTACATATGGATTCTCTTTTGGTGTTGATAAGTTCGAGTGGGATAAGTTCGATGTCTTTAAGTTGGTGTCCAGGTTGATTAAAATGCTGTCAGTGATACTGTGTCGTCAGTTTCCTTTTGCATCGCTCTACGGTGTTCACCAAATCTGTGTCTTTAGTCTCGTTTAGTCTGTCTGATGTATTCCACTGGTGTGTTTGGGGTATTTTTACATTAACGACATTGGATCATGTAAATGAGATTTTTAGATGCACATGTGATCTTGATGAGCTGAGTTTGGCCAGTCTTTCTGAATGTACATGATGATATTTTCTTAATGAAGGGACAGGTTTTGCATCTGATGGAGTTGCATTTCTTTATGGAAGGTGTCTTTGAAGTAGATGTCTTTGTTTGTTTCCCTTTACAAGGAGGTCACGCAGGTTTCGGGGGCGTCTGTATGCGATAAAGGGGCGTTCAGTAAAAGCTTCTTTGCATCTGTTTGAAGATTGAAGCATGGGCAGGTGTTTCGTGATGATCTTGTTAAGGTATGGAGAAGCTGGATTGTAGGTGAGCACAGATGGGATGCAATGGCTACGTTTTTGTTTAAATGGTCTTTTTGGGGGGAAAGACGTCCAGTGTCACCACACCTGTTGGTTAATTCAGAAACATATACGCTTCTGACGGAATGTTACGTGTATTTGACCGCCTAAATTAGCCTGAACTTCAGATACTCATTCGAGTCGCTCTCTCAGCTGAGAGGAGTATGCGACATGTCTGAAATTCAGGCTAGGCCTAAACAAAAATAACTTCATCACTTCTTGTAGGAAGCAGACAGATTGAGAAGAACTCTTCATTACTAATCTCATTCAATGGTAGTGTTTCTACAGGTTAGAGAGACCAAGCCTGCATCCCGCCACCCGCTTTCTCCTCAGGCATGTCACCCTGATCCCGGATCCCGATTCCAAAATCCTTGTTTTTCATGTCAAGTTACTTTTTTGCTTCCACGAGTGGGATGCAATTAGAGGTTTTATAAAGGATTAGCTGTAGTCAGGAGTTAGCCTTTTACGGCTCTGTTATTTTTGTTTTGAGGAAGTGGAAGTGGATCTACCCACTCGTCGACAATTCTCATCGACAGTCCCACTCGTCCCTAAGAAAACATATTTTAGTCTGTGCAGTCCACAATACGCATGTACGTGTCGCAAGAGTTTTCTCTTCCAGGGAGTCTCACTACAGAAATTATTTGACTGCAAGATCAAAGATGAATTCTTCTTTGGGTGTTGTTTTCGGTGGGATTTTTGCTCTTGTTGTTGCCGGATATATAGCTCAAAGTCGTCTTCCTCCGCCAAAACCAAACAATTATGGGAATAGTCCTAGGGAAGACGGTTTCCTGTGTTGCTGTTTATCAAGCTGTAACAGGCTTGATACACATGATGTTGACATCCTGGCCAACAAGAACGGCAGCAAAGTTATTCCCAGCGTTGTAGCCTTTACCGATAATGGAGTATTAGTTGGTAACAGAGCCTTGGCTCAAGCTGAATTGAAACCTAGATCAAGTATTTATGACGCAAAACGTTTTACTGGGAAGAAGTTCTCGAAAGATGATTTACGAAAACTGTCTACACTCTACCAGTTCAGGGTCACTTTGATGAAAAGGACAATTCTAAGTTCGTGATCGAAAGCCATGGAAACCAGACTTTAGTGTCACCTGAAGAGATCGGTGCTACCAAGAGAGGATAAAGGGGACAGAGAAGGCATCCCCCATACACACCCTATTCCATAGGTAATTCGTCTCGAGTTATTTTTAACACCACAGATCTCAAGGGGGATTAGACAACAGCCAATCACATAGCGCGAATGTGTTCCGCGTGGGTGACCCACGCTCAGAGCCACGCGTCCGTCACGAATTGACGCAGAACAAAATGGCGGAAGACGCGGAGAGCGATATTGCTATTCGTTTTGTCGACGAAAACGACTACAGAGAGATTTCTGCTAAAGCTGTGTCAGCGAAACGGAAATTAAATGGGAATCGCCTTTCCTCTCTTGTATAGAGCTAACAGTACAGCAGGGAGTTCCTTAACACACTGAATATTCTCTCAGGATCTTTTATAATTTACAGTTTGAAGAAAGCAATTTCTGGTTTGACATTTATTCTTTTATTAGTCTTTTATTATTTAACAAAAATATTATTTGGCGTCCTACTTGCTTTATTGTACAAACGACCGGTTTCAATAGACTGGCGAAATTCCTCATTTTATTAAAGAACTGAGGCTACGACAACTTCGAGTTAAACTGATTTCACAGGTTGTCAAAGAGTCCAGCGATTCCCTTTTCCCAGGTGAGCGCCGACTCATTTCGCTTCAATATTCAGGAATGCTCTCGATCTCTTTACGCTTTCATTGCCTTTCGCCCGACATGTTTTGCACGGCGTTTAGTCGCGCCAAACCTCCAAGAAACATCCACGCAGCGTGCGAGGCAACTTTATCCCGATTCTAAAAATAACTCGAGACGAATTACCTATGGAATAGGGTATGTATGGGGGATGCCTTCTCTGTCCCCTTTATCCTCTCTTGGTGCTACTATAATAAGGGAATTGAAAAGGACAGTTGAGAAAAATATCAGTAGATCTGTTAACCAAGCGTTTATGTCGGTTCCTGCTGAAGTCAACATGGCCCAGAGAAATGCCACTGTTAGGGCTGCTTCTCTCGCTGGGAACAACGTTGCCCAATCAGTGACTTCCATGTGTCACGACCCAGTGAGGTGGCGTTGTAATGCCCATCAGCGATCAGAGAGTACAAGGAGTTGGCCTGCTTGTTGATGACAATAAACTTGACCGGCTGCTGACCGATCTTCATACCGAGGCAGATCTTGGAGAAGGATGTGTTCCAGTAGGAGGGAAGTTTGGTTTCCTGTGAGTGAAACCCAGTCTTCCCTCCGTCAAGGTTATAGGTTTCTTTGTTGCTCCAGAGAGAGGAATTGTATTCAAAAGTTTGCTGTGAGAGAAACAAGTACTTGGCCGTCAAATTAATTAAACCATAAATTAGTAATGTGTACAACATCACACTCGCGATGCCCCCTCCTTATATTCCTACCAATCCAGAATAAGAACGTTTTTCTTTATCTTGTTACTGAATTCATAACTTAACTCAGTCTCTGTCTAGTTCCTATTTTTAACCTATCACTCAGCGAATTTCATTATACTTATTTCTTTGTGACTGGGGAGCCCAGGCTTCATAAGCCTTCAGGTTTAATTTCTTCTAGGCTCCCTTGACAAGTTACAATTTCTATATGTATAATACCTGTATTGTATTATATTTTGGCTAAATAAAAATGAACTGGACTGAATGCAGAATAAGAACGCTTTGCCTGTTTTATTTCGGTGATGTGAGTCTCTGCATGGATACCTGCAGAAGTCGATTTTGTCGCGCATTTTACATCAAATCGTCGTTTCTTCAGGCGAGCACGAAATCGTCGCATATTAAGCATTTTTTTGTGTGGTAACGCTACTAGTAAGCTCAGCGCAACCAATGGCGATCTTCGCGTTCGATTTCGTCGGAAACACCCATACAGAGGCTCTGATATCCCTACTATCTAAGAGCCTGCTGACACAGGCTATCTCGTACCTTGTTGCCGTCCATCTTCATGACCGGTGTCCATCCTCCATCCCCACATCCAAAATCTCCCATGTGACAGAGAACGGATGTTGGCTTTGAGTCAAAGATAATTGTAATCATCTGAGTTTTGTTTGTCCTAGTCAAAGAAGACACTTTTTAGTTAACAACTACAGTGAAACCTGTATAAGGCGGACACTAGCAGGTTTTTCACTGTTTACATAAAAAAAGCAGTTTCACAACATTGTCTAGTACTAAAGCGTTGGTTTCTTTTAAAACCAACTCGAATAAAAAAAAAGACTTTTATGAAGAAAAGAAGTAACTCACTTGTCTGGGTTATGGTCATAGTCATACCAGTCTTGACATGACTTGATCGCTGAAAAAAATGATCAAATTCACTAGAAGTTCTGCTAGTGTTTATTGTCCTATATTCAAGCTAAGACAAGAGCAACGTTTGTTTTGTTACCTATTTGGCAAGATGCTCCAATAAAACCCTCCTTACAAAGGCAGTTGAGATGTCTGGAATTTTGTGCACAAGTATCTCCGTTGTAACATTTCCAGTGAGTCCCGGAGGTCTGAAAGTAGCAACATCACCATTAGTATTTTATAATGTAAAGATTTAGCCAAGGCTAACAGCGAAGCTGTTGTTAATATTTATAGTTTACTCAAACAAGACATAAAATCGTATAATTCCAAGCGGCGACGGCAACGAAAACGTAATGTGTAGCACACTTTTTGGGTACATTTCTTTGCCGTTGTTTTGCACGACTACAACGTGAAACTTCCAGACGCTTCCTAGTTACATGTTTTATAGAGGACTGAAGTTCTTATTTTCTCACCGCTCGTATGAAATTGGTCTCCTTTTTTTATCTCTCGCTCTAGCTCTTTCTTTGTTATCCACTTTACGTCAATGTAGACCGTTAAAATTTAGTCGAAAGAAAGGATCGGCTTTGTTGTTGTTGTATTTTTTCTCTCTAAAAGTCCGGCGGGTGGCCATGCGATTTACCGCCGAAACGCGCGGGTGCTTGAAATGCAAAATTTCACCCCGGCTTTCATGAACGGGTGGACGTACGTACGCATCGTACGGACGATTTTGTCAGAACTTACATTTCTTGAATGCATAGCTAAGCAAATTTTCTTACTCATGGAGCTCCGCTTTGATTACTACTTAAACAACCAATTTTGAATATCTTTTAAATTCCACATACCAGTCAGCAAAACCTGCAGACTTAAAGGGATATTTTTTGCCTTTTAATGACATTTAGTTTTACTTTTTGACATCTTATACTTCGAATGCGCTAATAGACATGCAGTGGAGATTCTATTTTCACGGGAAAAAGTGCCCTAAAATGTGTCTAAAAATAAACTGGTCCGTAAAAACGCCGTGATATAGGCCTACTATGGAAGTTGCTCACTCCGGGTTATGGCCTCCTGCGATAACGATAATGATGATGCTGATGACGATGACGATGATAATGATCATGACAAAGACAATGAATAATAATAACATTCATTTGATAATGATAATGCTATACCTCTAGGATGGTACTTAAGTGATGCGAGGTTTGGTTTCTTTTATACTTCTCGGGGTTGCTGTGCTTTTCAGAGGACAGCAACTCGCACCATATCTTTCCATTGGCTCCTCTGTAGGCGGCCAGGTTAACAGAAAAGCAACAAGGATTTCTAAGACACTTTAACGTACAGTCAAAGGCGTTGTCCACTGTGAATGATCCAACCACAGGAACATTCAAATAATGATAATCGTCTTGTGAGAAAATATCTTGGCGAAATTCAGAGTCTAAATCTATGAAAAAGAAAAAAAACAACAAAGCATTAAATGATTAGCTAATGCCCGACTTGCAAACTGGTTACCATTACATTTAGCTCAAGAGACATTTGTATAATAAAAACCTCAAAAACACAATCAACCTATGCCACTGATATTAATATTATAAAGGAAATAAAGGGAGATGTAAAAACACAATCGTGTCATAAATGGGACTGCTTCATGCCAATCCATGTTTTTCTGTTGATCATTAAACTGCACCGCTGCAAAAATGACTGTGAAATACATATCAAATAAGTCATAAGCCTGCCTTTACTGGCGAGGAATTGTAGAACTTACCTCTGGTGAAAGTTAAGACATATAAAACTTCGGACAATGTTTGGAAGAAAACAAACCAATGGCTTAATGTTGAAAACATGGTCGGCAGTTTAAAGCTATAGCTATTACACTTCATTAGCGCACGTTCACAAGCAATGCGAGGCGGTATTCCCGGTTTGGTAACTTGAAGTAAAAGGTTTTAGACATTAGTTTAGCCTTTAAACTGTTATTATTTACCATCTCCACGAATATGTTGAAAGCATCGTTTGCTTTTAAGTGACCACAATTGAATCGATTGACTTGTGCGTTGTCAGTGACGTGTTCTGTCAAAAGCAAAGATAGCGTAAATGATCTAATAGACGGTCACTCTCAAATAAAGTTTGTAGTAGACTTTCCTAAATGCACACTGTCTAATTTGGCAGCTGAAAGGAATTAAGCTATATCCTGATGTAATGCTGCTCTTAACGTAATATTCTAACGAAAAGTTTCCACAATTGTAACGTTTGTTAAAAAACAATTTTTCAAAATGTCCAGCCTTAAAAATTACGAAATATCACTTGAACACGAAAACGTTATCATAAATACACATTGCCAGATAGTTAAAATTAAATGACTGAAATTTATAAATGGCTGAGGTGTCCAAACAAAAAAATTGACCAGGTGAAAATCATCAATTTGATAGTTTCAAACTGAGAGAGTATGTATCGATGATAAGCTGTCCATGGACGTAAGAATAGAGTTCAATATTCAGCAGCATAAAATACTAGGCAAACTGCTTTGATCAGTCTTTACAAATAGTTCAGTATAACAGTTATCAAAGGTCCGTTACTCGCATTAACTGACTGGCGGTCACATGCGGGAAAAATCGGTTGAAATCCCTTTGAAAAGTAGTCCCAACTTAACTTATTTCAAGAAATATGTCTCCCTTTATGTTTCTAACACCAAATTTAATCTCTTGATACTGAAACTTTGTTTGTTTATTGGTCTCAGTGAAATGCGTTCAAATTTCATCTTTTGACGGAAGTTCCAGACTTGAAGAGAAAGGCAGAGAAAAGCGGAAAATTGTATGCGCACACGCACAAAGATTATAGTCTTTACCATTATAAAACATAATTAATATTTTGCGCCAAAGAATTATACTTTGGTTAAATGAATACTCCGTCGTTCTCGTGCAGGCAAAAATTGGTTAGAAAAGGAGTCTCTTAAAATATTTTTTATCCTTTAGAAGCACAATACAGCGTTATCTAAGAAATCGTGGCTGATTAGTGCTGCATTTTGAAAAATTTACTGCCAGCAAGCACCGTGTATAAACTCACAAGAAAAGTTCAGACAGGTGAAAAGGAAAGAGCAATTTTCATGCAATTTTATGCGAAAAAACTCAAACTGGGTTAACTCTTTCTAAACACAGATATTCACGTCGCTCTCGCAAAATATGAATGCAATTTATGAAATAATGGTCAGGTCAGCCTGTTTAGAATTTTTTTTAGTAACTATAAAAAGCAACTGGCATGAGTAATTCAAACCAGGCAGAACTTTAGCCGAAAAAAGATCGTCTAAAATTATTGAGTTGAAGGAAAAGATGGGCCGTTTAAACAATAAATTCCAAAGTATTAGCTATGGATTAGCATAACAAAGATGAAACATGTTTATATTATCGTTGCCATTATTATCATAGTTAGCCAACTGACGCCTGATATCGCTTAATAACCAATATATTAAAAATAAAGTGTCGACTACTGTTGACTCTCAAATGCTTATTTCAATAAACATTCTGAACATCAACAGTAGTCGACACTTAATAAAGAATACATATTGAATAAAATCGCCTGGGTTAACTTGACGGTTTTAGCCTAAAAATAGTTCGAATCACATTTTAGTGAAAATTTCCAGAAAGAAATACTTAACAGTGTGAAATTTAACTTACAACAGCAAAATAAAACTAAGTTAATTATCATTATTTTGGTTTAATAATTTGAAAAACTGGTTTTTGTCCTGGAAACAACAAAATTTCTTCTACTTCAAAGACCTTTCCCTAAATTGTGGCAGATCCAAGAAGTGCAGACTTTACATAACTCTGACCCTCTGTTAACAATTGCATTTTCCGTCGAGTGCCTTTTTTAAAAACTTCTTCAGTATCGCTCTCAAAGCTATTGTTTTATTATTATTATTATTATTATTATTATTACTATTATTATTATTACTTATCCCAGTGATAAAAATGTGTTTGGACCTTAAAGCTTTATTAACACCGAACCCCAAAAATGTCTGCTGAGAATTAGCATAATAAAATGATCGTAACTGTTTAGACCTCAGATGGCTTGTTACCACTGACGGCTCGCGCACAATATGAGTTGAAATGACTCGGGATGAATTAGTAATGGTTGATGATAATGTCACCTGCAAATACAGCCACCTAGCGGATTAATAGACAAGCATCTAGATAATGATAATCTTCTTGCGTGAAAATATCTTCGCGAACTCGGAATTTCACAAAAATGCAGAAGATTTTGTTGTATAGAGCAAGTTAGCGTAAATAATCTAACAGACGCCCACTATCAAACAAAACGCCTCTTATCTGACTAGTAAGGTCCAGTAATAGGTGACACTACAGCTGCCCCGGTCTGTATGTTGTCGGTCAATAGTATTCTTGGTCGTTGTGTAGCTCTTCGAAATATGCCTTTTCATAATGAAGATTTTCACACATATTCCATACAATAGGCGAGATAAAAACAGGGAACACAGAAAAGGCTAGGTTCCATGCACTGATTCAGTTCTGGGCGAAATCCCTGCGGGGGGCACACCCCCATTTCAATGATAAGTTTCTATTAGACCAGCCTATCTAATACACGCCCCCTATGACAATACTCCAAAATACTAGAAATTAGCAAAAAGGAGAGAAATCATTCAATTTATTCAGTTTCTTGCTTGATTAACAATGGTCTGCTCATTACATTTTGTTCGTTTTCAAGTTCAACGTAAGGATACACTAACGATGACAACACAATTAACTTAAACAAGGATTCTGGCATCGATGTAGAGATTTGAAACAGCGATATTATGTGGATATCTAGAATAGCCTACACATAACAATATTGATGGACAGAAGATTCCGCTCTTTTCAAACTCTCTTGATATCTAGATATATCTTTGCCGAAAGCATATTAGTTTTGTTGAGCTTGCAACATTTATGGCAATTTACCCCTGTCTCTTTTAAACGCCTCCTATCCGGATTAAACGCCTCCTCTTAGATCTAAAAAAAGTTAAAATCAGTGTTTTGTGAACACTTAAGACAATACAAGACAAGAATTTTAACTCATCTGACACCTGACATTTTCAATTACAGTTAGAGAACTTGAATGAAAAAATAATGCAGCAATCGAATGTAAAAAAAAAAACATTTTAGGTGGCAGAAAGGTACGGGAATGGAAACCAGCATCACAACCGCCTTCTTCACAAGTGATATACTTCTAAAGCAAAATCGCTCTAGAAATTTGTCAACTAAAATATCATTTTGCTAATCAAATTCGATCTTTATGTATAAACGGGAAATGCTTTTTTCAGTCCTAACAGTGTTTGTTCGCAGACGGCTTAGCGTCCTTTTGGAGTCAGCCGACTGTTTGTTTGCAGTACTAACGCATAGAATACAAGGCACTGAGAAATTCCGCTTGCTGTATCACAAGCTAAGGTTGCTTCACTAAGGACAAAAAATGATTGAAAAATAAATAGCGACTTATACAGTAGCGAGCCAAGATAACCACGCAAAACTAACCTAGCTGGTGTATAAGCTGTCTCAGTTACTCAGTCATTATTACTGACTGAAAAACATTAAAAAAGAGAATTCCGCGCCAAATAATGAAGAACAAAAAGTTGCAGTTTTGATTATGTCTCCGGTGGAGGAGCTTTGGCTGGTTTTCCGAACAGCGACTGGCAATCGAGTCTCGGTTTGAACCCAGGAGTCATTTCAAAATCGATTTCAAAAGTTTTTCAAAAGTAGGTTGAGAATCATCGTCTGGGTGATCGTAGTACCGTTCTTGACAATGACTGACGTTTCGACAACCTGTGCCGTGGTAGACATCGTCAGATTCATGTTCAGAATTTACCTGAAATAACACTGTCCTTGTTATTTTTTAACATCCCAGCAGGCATGTCTGTGTCCTTACCGTTTGTTTGGAACCAGAAAAGTCATCTCATTGGTGTGCATGCCTGTAACCACTGCTCGGCTTGTTTACGGGCTCAGACTTGCTGAGCGAGAGCCCCAGTTTAAATCCAGGACAAAACACTAACCCAGCCTAGTCCCCAGGCGTTTTCGGCTCGGTCATTCCTGGACTCTACTATAAGCTGTGACGTCACCGAGACTTCGCGAAAACAACGGATCAAGAGAGAACTCCTAGGGACTAGGCTAACAGTAACCCAGGCTCTTAAAAAAACTGGTAAGATAATGCTTGCTGTAAATAATCTTGTCTCAGTTCAATTAATCGCCCTTTTTTCGGTGGTGTCCATGAGCTGGCGCAGAGTAAAACATACCACAGATAGAAAGAAAAGATAGAATTCTTTTAAGCAAAAATATTTCTGATTTATAGCTTTGAATCTTGCCTCGGTACAGACGCGATAAAGTAGGTCATTTTTACTCTAATTTTTGCATAATTAATTAGGTAAAAACCGCTATTTTCGTGTCTCCTCATTTTCTCGAAAACTATAGATTCTTGAAAGTTAAAAATATTTTTTTCGAAGACAGTTCTCCAAAGGGGTTTTTCAGACAGATTATCAGAATTTTCGATTTTTTTAGCCTGGCCAGCGATTCTCGATATTTACAGTCATGGGCTCTTAAGGGCTAGTCGTTTATTACCTGTGTGGGGGGGAGCGGCCATTTTGAGAAGTATGAGAAGGCTAAGAAGATTTTCAAACGGCGAACCCTTCCTCGATCTCAGCTTTTACTGAGAAATGACCCCTCATAAATTTTACATATCGTGCCGAAAGTGACTCCCTCTCTTAACCCGATGAACCCGATTGCTGTGGAAATTACGAATCACTGATTTTGGCTGCAAATCGTGTTGACGTTCACCTGCGCGTTATTTATCTACAGTAATTTTATAAGATGTGAGTTTCTACAGTATTCACGGCTTGTACATTCAATTTTAATTCAAGCTCCTTACTGCCTTTTTACTACTTTCATGAAATTGATTAAAATGACCCCTAGGGATTAAACGCTTTCTCAACTGAAAATGACCCCCAAAAATCAAATTTTTGAAAATGAACATCCAGTAAAATTGTTAATTAAACGAGACTTACCTGTAAGTCGTGGTTTGATTGAGATTCTACCGTAGCATTTGCAGGAATGAGGAGGTCACGCGAGATAGCAAGTATGCGATATCCGAGCTCAGTCTTAAAAGCGGTTTTGTGGGGCTTTGACAAAGCAGGAATGAGAGGTCACCAACAATAGGGATGGGGTAGGGCGGGATGTGACCTCCTCATTCCTGCAAATGCTACGGTAGAATCTCAATCAAACCACGACTTACAGGTAAGTCTCGTTTAATTAACAATTCTACCTCGCATTTGCATACAATCGGAGGTCACGTGAGATTTTAAAGCTCAAAGCCACAGAAAACTCAGACAACAAAAAATGGTGAATGAACACAACATAATGTGTATTTGTAATAGGCCTCTTACATGATAGTAGTAAATACTGCAACAACAACTGATATCGATATAAGGCATTGTATGAATATGCACTGGCTCAAAGAAGGGAGTTATTTGAGATTACAATATATTATTTCTTATCTCCCAGAATTGCTGCAGCAAAGTTGTTTGCAGTGAGGACAGGGCGATCATAGAATTTGGCAAAAGTAGAATCAGAACGCCATCCAGCAGTGTTCATTATAACCTGAACAGGAACATTCAATGCTTTAGCTGCTGAAGTAGAGGCACCCCTAGTGCTGTGGGGTTTGAAAACCGTAGTATCAATTCCCGCATCCTTCATGGTTTGTTTTATCCAACGTGATAGTGTGTCCCTTGAAGCTGGTCCATGAGGCTCAGCATGGCAAATAAGCAACTGCTTTGTCTCTTTCCTGAGAGGAGCGGTTCTTTTAACATAAGCTGAAAGTAGCTCCACGATACACAGTCGTTTGTCCAGGGGGTAACTATGAAAAGTAACAGGTAGTAAATGTCTGTTCTGGCCCCCTTTGGCAGTTGTTTGTTTTAAAACAGAAGAGATGCGAAAGACATACTTTCCAGGTAGGGTACTCATGTCTTCCAAGGACAAGGACTGTAAAGTCTGAACTCTCTGTGCAGACAATAGGGCCATAAGCATGACCAGTTTCAGGGTAAGCTGTTTCAGTGACATATCATCAATAGCTGGAAATGTCTTAAGGTGGTTAAGCACTATTTGGGGTCCCAAGTCTCAGAGTAGCGTGGAAGGGCTGGCTTTTTGATTAAACAGGCCAGTCATAAACCTTGACACCAAGGGTGGTCACCCACTTTTACACCATCAACTTTAATGAAACTTGACAGTGCACTTCGGGCAGTTGCAACCGCACTATATCCCACACGTTTAGATTGCAGAGTAAGGAAATCAAGGACTTGCTGCAGCTTGGGATTGACTTGGCTGATGTTACAATCAGAGCAGTACTTTAACCAGGCTGTAATATATGTGCAGTATTGTTTGCGGGTTCCATCTCGCCAAGACGCCACAATGATGTCCTGAGGTTCCCCCGTTATGCCTTGAGCAGCTAAGGATGCCCTGATAAGAGACATCCATGAAGTTGAAGTTTGGGATATAATGGGTGGACTTGTTCTGGTTGATGTGGGAGAATAATGGTTTTGCGGTGCATTTTGATTGATACTGGAGGAGATTTCATCAACTGTAGGAGCTGTGGGTACCACACCTGGGTTGGCCAGTATGGGTACACAAGTATGGCTGTTGTTCTGCTTTCTTGGATAAACTGAAGGACTTTGCCTATGAGGCTGAAAGGAGGAAAACAATAGATAAGTTTATATCTGGACCAATCCAGAGTGAATGCATCAATAGCTGCTGCACCTGGATCTGGTTTCCAGGCTACATATGGAGACACTTTGTGGTTCAGCCTTGATGCAAACATGTCTATTTCAGGATCGCCCCATTTAAGTTTAAGTTCGTCAAAAATGGTAGGGTCTAGGGACCATTCTGTATTACTGTTGTGTGATTCTCTGCTAGCTCTATCAGCTTCTGTATTTAATTTCCCTGGTATGTGGGAGATTGATAGTGCCAGCTGCCTCTGCATGCACCAGATGAGAATTTCCCTAGTTATATCATTGCAGTTCCTAGATTTAGAGCCACCCATACTGCGGATGTACGAGACTGCAGTTGTATTGTCACAAAGCACTTTGATGGTACAATTTGTAAGGTGACTGCAGAGTGACTGCAGTCCCAGAAGGATGGCTTTTAACTCTAGGAAATTAATATGAAGTTGGGATTCCTGGAATGACCATCTACCACTTGCAACACTTGAGGTACCCTCTATCACTGCCCCTCAGCCCGTAAGTGAGCTGTCGGTTGTCAGGGTTAGATGTGGGATTTGTGGTGTGATGGTTTCTGGATATTGGTCAACATTATTTATCCACCAAAGGAGGTCTTGTTTGCACAGGGGTGAGAGTGTTACTTTCCCCTCAAGATCCCAGCCATTTGCTTGCAGTGCATCAGTTTTGATATTCTCTAGAGATCTATAAAATAATGGCCCATAGTACACTCCTGCAAATGAGGATACCATCAAACCCACAACTGAGGCCACCTCTCGGATTTGGGCAGGACCTTGTATCTGCACAAGGCTGTGACACTTAGATCGTACAATATCAGCCTTCTCTGGGATCATGGAGATGGTCATATTCTTAGAATTCAATATGAATCCCAAAAATTTGGCTATCTGAGAGGGTGTCGTGACAGATTTAGTATCATGGATTGTGAAGCCAAGTGCCCTGAGTAGGGCAACCGTGTCAGCAACTACTTGCGATAGCTGCTCTGGTGTTTCTGCCATTAGTAATATGTCGTCTATGTAACCCACTATTAGGTATCCTTTGGATCTCAGTGTTGCATAGACTGGTTTCATAAGCTTGGTGAAGACCCTAGGGGCCGAGGCCAGGCCATTTGGCAAGCAAGTAAACTCGTAAAGGGTTCCGTTAAATTCAAACCTTAGGTATTTTCTGTGCTGGAGATTTATCGGTACAGAGTAATAAGCATCCTTGAGGTCTAGAACTGCCATCCAATAGTCCTTTTTAAGTAGTTGGGCAGCTGATTGGAGGGATTCCATTTTAAAATGCTGGTAAGTAACAAACTCATTAAGATTTTTGAGGTTCAGGATGAGTCTATGAGACCCATCTTTCTTTGGTCTTGTAAAGACCGAAGAGATGAATTCTCCATTGCAGTGTGTTGTCTTGCTCAAAACACCTTTATCAAGAAGTTTTTGAACCTCTACTGCAATAATGTGTTCATCACCTTTAGAAAATTTTATATAGGGCACATATGTTTGGTATGGTAACCGTTCAAAATCGATAAGATAGCCCGATACAATCTCAAGGATGCTTGGGTCTGAGGTAATAGACCTCCACTCAGAAAAGTGATGAGCTATGTTACCAGCAACAAAATTTTGTACAGCAGAATTTACCGTGTTAAGACCATGAGCTACTGTGATGACCTCTTGTTTGGGTTCATCTTTGGAGTCTCCTTGTGACGCCAAGGTCTGAATGTTTGGCCTTTGGAGTTTTTTGGATTCCGTTGAGAAAAAGTGTGTCTGTTTGTATTGCTGCTGTTGTAACCAGAAGGATTCCTCTGAGATCCTCTATGGTTTTGTACCTTTGCACCAATCTTGTTTACATCACCTATGTCCTTCAACTGCTTTTGGAGGTCGTCACCAAAAAGCAGGTCTGTGAATGGTACATGAGGTGAGCAAAGGGCGGCGTAGTCTTTGCCAATGTCAGGTTTCATGAGCTGTTTTCTCTGCATGTTTAGTTCATAGTTTACATGCGTTAGTAGTGACAGGGCATCAAGCCCAAATTGCTTGATCAGCTGCATGCCCTCTTTGTCTAACCCATGCTTTTCTGACATGGTCAGGTCTGTCAACCGGGCGACCGGGATTATACCCTTAACGAGGGCTTGCTGCATCTTGTACAGTTGTAAGTCCCTCTTTTGCGTGTGCTCACGAAGTTTTCGCCAAATACCCGGGTTGACACGTGTGGGTTTTACAGTTTCACAGTTTTCCGGTCGAGCTTGTCGCTCGAGCTTCTCTTTAAGGACTTTGTCTGGCAAACGATTGCGAAACATCTTGCCAAGGAGCTTGGCAAATTGTGGGTTTTGAATGTTCTTCCCGATAGAGTCTTCAGACTCGTACTCTTTCTGTAGTTCTGTAAGCGTTTCATCTTCGTCCCCGTTACCGAGATCGTCAACATCGCCGGCAACTTTAGTCATGAGTGTTTGAACATCCTCGTTATCCGAGGTATTTTGCTCGCTCGAGGAGCTCGAGCATTCTTTGGCGGGCTTTTTGGCGGGAACGGCATTTTGATGTTCCTGGCTCGGTCGTTTGCCAGGGCCTTTACCCGTCGTAGAAGGCTTTTCCTCCAATTTATCGAGTCTTTTTGACACATTTAATATTGCCAGGGAAAGACTCTTAAAGTCGGCAGCGGACAGCGAAACGTTCGCGCCGCTTGTGCCAGGCTCGGCCGCCATATTTTTATCTTCTCCAGAATCTTTGAGTAATTCTCCTTCGTCCAGAACTTCATCCGATAGCGGGTCGTTGTTGAGCGCCTCGTGTTCGCCTATCTGCGACATCAGGAACGGTCGGTCAGAATAACGTCGGAAACGCAGTAAAAATCCGTAAAGAACCTCTCTCTATAAGTTACACAACTGACTCGCTCGGACACCAAACTTGCACTGAGCTCGGATATCGCATACTTGCTATCTCGCGTGACCTCCGATTGTATGCAAATGCGAGGTAGAATGGTCGCCCTCCCCCCTCCCTCACAGGTGATCAACGACCAGCCCCTTAAAATAGTTTTCTCATGGCAACAAAAGTAAATTAGCCCAGATCAGTTTCCTTTCACTGCACCAAAATATATCCCATTGCCTTAATATGTTTATAACCATTATCTGGAGAATAATTATAAGCTTGGTTTCCACATGAGTTGGTTTTATCAGGATTTCCTTCAGTACCAAACCCAATTCTAGAGTTACAGGACTTGCAATGATTTTCGTTGTTACTAATGATACCGATCCTGGTTTTGGAATATTGACGATATTTACTACTAACAGCATTGAATCCTTCCTTGTTACAGTTGTGCTGTAAGGAAGCATCAGAACCGATCAGTGACTTCCACATGTCACGACCCAGTGAGGTGGCGCGGTATTGCCCATCAGCGATCAGAGAGTACAAGGAGTTCGCCTGCTTGTTGATGACAATAAACCTGATCTGCTGACCGATCTTCATACCGAGGCAGATCTTGGAGAAGGATGTGTTCCAGTAGGAGGGAAGTTTGGTCTCCTGCGAGTCAAACCCAGTGTTCCCTCCGTCAAGGTTAAAGGTTTCTTTGTTGCTCCAGAGAGAGGAATTGTATTCAAAAGTTTGCTGTGAGAGAAACAAGTACTTGGCCGTCAAATTAATTGAACGATAAATTACTGATGTGTACAACATTACATTTGCGATGCCCCCTCCTTATATTCCTACCAATCCAGAGTTAAGAACATTTTCCTATATCTTGTTACTAAATTCATAACTTAACTCAGTCTCTGTCTAGTTCCTTTTTCAACGTATCGCTCAGCGAATTTCGTTATGCATTTTTCTTTGTGACTGGGGAGCCCAGGCTTCATAAGCCTTCTGGTTTCTTCTGGGCTCCCTTGCCAACTTACAATTTCTATGTGTATTCTTGTATTGTATTATATTTTGGCTAAATAAAAATGAACTGAACGCAGAATAAGAACGCTTGGCCTGTTTTACTTTGGTGATGTGAGTCTCTGCGTGGATACCTGCAGACGTCGATTTTGTCCCGCGTTTTCTATCAAATCGTCGTTTTTTCTCAGGGGAGCACTAAATAGTCGTATATTGAGCATTTTTTTTGCGTGGTAACGCTACTAGTAAGCTCAGCGCAACCAATGGCGATCTTCACGTTCGATTTCGTCGGAAACACCCATACAGAGGCTCTGATATCCCTACTATCTAAGAGCCTGACACAGGCTACTTCGTACCTTATTGCCGTCCATCTTCATGACCGGTGTCCATCCTCCATCCCCACATCCAAAATCTCCCATGTGACAGAGAACGGATGTTGGCTTTGAGTCAAAGATAATTGTAATCATCTGAGTTTTGTTTGTCCTAGTCAAAGAAGACACTTTTTAGTTAACAACTACAGTGAAACCTGTATAAGGCGGACACTAGCAGGTTTTTCACTGTTTACATAAAAAAAGCAGTTTCACAACCTTGTCTAGTACTAAAGCGTTGGTTTCTTTTAAAACCAACTCGAATAAAAAAAAAAGACTTTTATGAAGAAAAGAAGTAACTCACTTGTCTTGGTTATGGTCATAGTCATACCAGTCTTGACATGACTTGATCGCTGAAAAAAATGATCAAATTCACTAGAAGTTCTGCTAGTGTTTATTGTCCTATATTCAAGCTAAGACAAGAGCAACGTTTGTTTTGTTACCTATTTGGCAAGATGCTCCAATAAAACCCTCCTTACAAAGGCAGTTGAGATGTCTGGAATTTTGTGCACAAGTATCTCCGTTGTAACATTTCCAGTGAGTCCCTGAGGTCTGAAAGTAGCAACATCACCATTAGTATTTTATAATGTAAAGATTTAGCCAAGGCTAACAGCGAAGCTGTTGTTGATATTTATAATTTTTTTTTTTTTTTTTTATAGTTTACTCAAACAAGACATAAAATCGTATAATTCGAAGCGGCGACGGCAACGAAAACGTAATGTGTAGCACACTTTTTGGGTACATTTCTTTGCCGTTGTTTTGCACGACTACAACGTGAAACTTCCAGACGCTTCCTAGTTACACGTTTTATGGAGGACTGATGTCGTATGTGTTCCTGTTAACTTTTTTTTTTCGCTCCCGCTCATTTTCGCCTTAGTGGCCGCTAGTATTTCTCATTTTCTCACCGCTGCTATAAAATTTCACGTTTTTCAGTTCCAGTGAAATTGGTCTCCTTGTTTTTTTTGTCCCTCGCTACAGCTCTCGCTCTAGCTCTTTCTCTGTTATCCACGTTACGTCAATGTAGACATTAAAATTTAGTCGAAAGAAAGAATCGGCTTTGTTGTTGTTGTAATTTTTTCTCTCTAAAAGTCCGGCGGGTGGCCATGCGATTTACCGCCAAAGCGCGCGTTTACTTGAAATGCAAAATTTCACCCCTGCTTACATGAACGGGTGGACATATGTACGCATCGTACGGACGATTTTGTCAGAACCAAAATTTTTTGAATGCATAGCTAAGCAAATTTTCTTACTCGTGGAGCTCCGCTTTCATTACTACTACAACAACCAATTTTGAATATCTTTTAAATTCCACATACTAGTCAGCAAAACCTGCAGACCGAAAAGGATATTTTTTGCCTTTTAATGACACTTAGTTTTACTTTTTGATACCTTATACTTCGAATGCGCTAATAGACATGGTGGAGATTCTATTTTCACGGGAAAAAGTGCCCTAAAACGTGTCTAATAATAAACTGGTCCGTAAAAACGCCGTGACATAGGCCTAGTATGGGAGTTGCTCACTCCAGGTTATGGGCTCCTGCAATAACGATAATGATGATGCTGATGACGATGACGATGATAATGATAATGACAATGAATAATAATAACATTGATAATGATAATGCTATACCTCTAGGATGGTACTTAAGTGATGCGAGGTTTGGTTTCTTTTATACTTCTCGGGGTTGCTGTGCTTTTCAGAGGACAACAACTCGCACCAAATCTTTCCATTGGCTCCTCTGTAGGCGGCCAGGTTAACAGAAAAGCAACAAGGATTTCTAAGACACTTCAACGTACAGTCAAAGGTGTTGTCCACTGTGAATGATCCAACCACAGGAACATTCAAATAATGATAATCGTCTTCTGTGAAAATATCTTGGCGAAATTCAGGGTCTAAATCTATGAAAAAGAAAAAAAAACAAAAAAGCATTAAATGATTAGCCAATGCCCGACTTGCAAACTGGTTACCATTACATTTAGCTCAAGAGAGATTTGTATAATAAAAGCCACAAAAACACAGTCATGTCATAAATGGGACTGCTTCATGCCAATCCATGTTTTTTCGTTGATCATTAAACTGCACCGCTGCAAAAATGACTGTGAAACACATAT